CCCCCCCCCCAGATGTGGCCCGAGGACCAGCCCCGCCCCCAACACACCGACCCTACAGAAACAACACGGGCGCTGCCCCCAGTCCCCCCCACGCGACCCCAGTCCCTTGCGGGCATCTCACCTTGGGCACGCGGGACTCCGGCAAGATCATGGATTTGGTGTAGCCGAGCCGGGTGGCCCGGACGCTACCCCCGCCCTGCGCCAGCGTCTCCCCCGGGTCAGCGGCTGCCGGGGGCTCGGGGCTCAGGGCCTCCACGGGGACCAAACTCTGCAGGGGAGAGGGGACCGAGTCAGGGAGTGCCCCCCATCCCGCACCATGGTGATGCCCCTCACTCCCGACCCGCAGCCCCCTGTCAGCCCAGCCCTGCCCCCCACCAGCTCTGCCGGTGCCCCTCACTCCCGACCCACTGCCCCTGCTAGCCCAGCCCTGCCCCCCACCAGCTCTGCCGGTGCCCCTCACTCCAGACCCGCAGCCCCTGCTAGCCCAGCCCTGCCCCCCACCAGCTCTGCCGGTGCCCCTCACTCCAGACCCGCAGCCCCTGCTAGCCCAGCCCTGCCTCCCACCAGCTCTGCCGGGGCCCCTCCTGACCTGCACTGCTCTTGGTACCGCGCTCCTGGGACACTGTCGCAGCAGCAGACTCCCGGGTTTTGCCCACGGCCCACCCAGCTCCCTCCCCTCCCTGGGGTGCTTCGTTAGAGCAATTAGTGCTGAGCCTTCTAAAGCACCTGGCGGGCAGCCCGGGTGCTTGGCTCGGCCAGGCCAGGGCATGGGAGGCCGGGCAGCACACCCGGCCCAGGGGAACAATGGGGCAGCCCCCCCGCTGCCTACCATCTCCCGGTGGCGCCGCGGAGGTTTCCAAGACTTGTCGCCTGTCTCCGGGTTGTAGAAGTAGCTGCGGCTGGTGCTGGGGTCGAGGTGGCGCTCCCAGGTGTCCAGCACCTGCAGCGGGGGGCCGCTGGGATTGGGGGGCTCCCCCCTCACCCGCTTTATCTCCTCCAGGTTGCAGTAAATCGGGGGCTCCTCCATGGTGGCTCCAGGGGGCGGAACCTGCAGGGCATGTGGGGGGCTGGTTACTGTCAGGGCTGCTGCCCCCAGCGGCTACAGGGAACCCCCCACCCCAATGTCAGAGTTGGGGGTGCACAGTCAGAGAGAATCCAGGAGGGGCTGCGGGTCGGGAGCGAGGGGCACCGGCAGAGCTGGCGGGGTGGGGGAGCCTGGAAAGTGGTGGCCCGAGCTGGAGGTGCTGGTGCAGAGCAGGTGACCTGCTGGCCCGGGAAAGAAACAAAGTGGGGGGGGGAGGGGGGGGAGGGGGGACAGCGGCGGGGGGGACGACTGTGGCTGGGCAGCTGGAAGGGGTCAGTCTCCTGGGTTGGGACTCGGGGGGAGGGCCGTGGGCTCTGGCTCCCCCCCCAGATGCACTTTGCTGAGCGTCCCTGGTGGGTGCTAACCAGCTCTGTCCTACGCTGGGTTCCCGGCGACGAACCACCCACCTCTCACCTGCTGGCTGGGAGTCCCTGCCGGCCGCGGGTGGGGGGCAGGGCCCTTGGGGGCGTGTCAGGCTCCCCCAGGGGAGCTCACCGGGTGACAGAGGGCAGACCCACGAGGCGCCGAACCGAGCCTTGCCCCCGGGGAGTGAGCCCCGAGGGGAGACCCCGCCCCAGAGTCCCAGGCGGCGGCATCCGGAGCGGGTGCCGAGCACCGGGCCTGTGACCCCGCCACCACCACCTCGCTCCTCCCCTCCCTGCCCCCCCCCGGCTCTGGGCGAAGCAGAGAAACTTTTGCTTTAGCCAAGGTTGGGAACGGTTTCCCCAGAGCGGCTTGGAACA